GCAACACGACTCATTGTGTACCCTGGGCAACTCATTGCGCTAGCAGACAACTTATTAACAAAGAAATGAACACAACTTTTTTTGTCAGGGGACGCGTTATGATTATGCAAATGAAGGACTTATATGACGCAACTGCTCTGTCTTGTGCGTTGTCCGGTGCTTAGCACCATAAATCGTCTCGTGTAAACCATCTTTGAATTTCACTAATCATCATTATGACTACAACAATATAGCTATAGCATTTTTAGTACGTAATAATGCGTGTTTCATTAATTGGGCAAAAATGTACATCGATATGTTGTTTTTGTAGTTTTTACAGATACGCTGACATACTGTATGATATCATCAATGACGAAAACTATGACAACCAGATGCGACCTAGTGCGGGAGGTGAGTAGCGAGTATTTGAGTTGTACCCTGCATTGAAATCTCCCCCGGGTGTCCTGAGATAAAATCCTTTAATATTTTAAGTCACTATGCGCTATAGATGGAATAGTTATCCACTCGTGACATAGTCGGGCCAATTATGTTATTCCCCGTGGATGCTCTAACTGATACACAGTGGACGTTTCTGCAGTGTGTGTAGAGATTCAGAACGAGATACAAGTCCTGACATTTACCACCGAACAGAGAAAAGAGACATATAGGTATAATGAATAATAATATAGTTGTCTAATAATAGTCTCTAAATATCAGTGCGTGTATTATTATTATTATTATTATTACGGAGTTTTTGTTATTCATCGACTGATGTTGTCTATCTGAAAACAACTGAGTATTGAAATATGTGTAGTAATGCATGGTATATAAAAAGGTCCAATCGATGTTGTTGAGCAGCCGAAGGCAAATTAGAAACCAAACACTCGCGATGAAACACGGTGTGCACCTATAAGTACCATTTATTGATTTTCTTTCTTATAAAAATTACGCAAATAATAGAGCAGACGGAACTGTTTGCCAGCAGTGACTGAAATGAACGTACATGCTACAATATTCTATAATCATATTACGTACAGAACGAGAAGTAACAAAAGTGTAACATGCTAATGGCCATCTGTGGTATATATTTACACAACATTTACATGAATGTCCTTAGTAATAACACAATGCTATAACTTTTTGTTATTAATTACGCAACTATATTCTGATATGTAAATTTAGTGTGTCTATTCATTCCTGACAGGTCCTCCCGTCAATGTATCAGTGTCGCTTTTCATCACCAGTATTCACTCGCTGTCGGAGATATCTATGGTAGGTAGAACAAGACACTCGTTTATTATTGCTTATTCCCGGACTTTGCACAGTACAATGCTTGTTATGCCTGACACAAAGAACTAGAAACGGCAGTTACCGGATTATGTCATCATTCCTGGAGTGATGACACGTGACATGCATGCATTTTATTTTTAGGAAATTATATAATCTGATTTTATGTACATTACCAGTTTTAGTAAGTTAAATTGATTTTACACATTCATAATTGTATGAACATTGGGTTAGGTGAAATGGTTCAAATAGGCGACTGGTGATATTTCAACGAGAATGATATTTTTATACATTGACAAATTAAATTATCTTAAATATAATTTTAGTCCTATTGCACACAATTTTGTATCGGATCCAAACAACCCTGTACGAATACAGATACACTGAGAGCGTTTCTTGCCAATGAACTGTAATCTCAAACTGGGGATATGTTATTGATGTTTTTATAAATTACAAATGCGGATCTCTCGCGATCCACCATAATCAAAGATTACTTGACAAATGAAACGTTTTCTCTTATCTACCATTGCGCAATAAGTTTAAATGAACTGAATTGCTCTAATGTAAAATATAAATCCCACTGTTTGACGCCTGGCACGATGTTACTTGGTTGCCATCGAGATTAGTACTACTAATTAAACTCGTATCTTACTTCATTCGAAGAGATTCTTCATAAATATTATTTTCTACATAGTTGAACTCAGAAAAAAAACATTAGTGCAGTACTATGTGACAACTCAGCGGGAACAGTATATATTTACCGTTAGACACATCAAATCCTGCAAATAACGGTTACCACTGTCATTGGATGAATGGCGAATTGTGTTACTACATTTGCGTATCGCAATCTTGTGGGGGATGAACATAGAATTCTATACGTGTGGATACACAACACAGTATTATTAGTAACATAACTGTTGACAATCGAAACGGCATAAAACACATATGCATATATGAAGTCACGTTCTTGTAGGCCCATCATGTTATTTTACAAACGTATTCTTCCATTTGCTAGGCACGTTAATCGATAATTGCGAAAAATGACCGAGAATCGGAGATTGCGATCTGAATCCCGAATGCAAACATGCAAGACATATTTTGCACTTAGATTTTGATCAATATACATTACAAATATATTTCCCATATCATGTGATGGATTCCACGATGTTTAAGAATGTCACTTACTAACATAAATTACCGGTCGCTAGACAGTTCGTGTGCAGCAATTATTGTTGAATAAGCAGATCGTAGACTACGTATTATATGATCCCAATGAAATAAAGACATGGACATATATGTATTTGTGTGCGTGAATTGAGCATACATTAAGGTCACCGCCTAATAGACATGAGCAGCGAGATCAATTACGTGTAATAGGTTTCTGATATTCTGAATAAAAAAAATGTAGCAGATAGGGATTTTGCAATTTGATTGGGTTTAATGGGGAATTGCAATGTCATTTTAATGAATGTGGTCAGTGATCAAGACCTTTAGATTCTAATACATTCATTGCATGAGCTCCGATAATATAGCATAGTTGGCATGTGTAACGTACGTGGTATATTCGAACTCTTTAAATTGCAATTCGCCGGATTTCGAATTACGCTAGAGAGATTGGCAATTATGATCGCTCATAGAATCGCGCTTTTGGTTATGTACGTGAGAATGTGATTCATTTTTTTTTGTACGTTTAGTATACTCGTTATTCACCGTGTCGCATAGCAGTGTTCGATCTGCAGTAAAATAATAACAAAAACACCAAGCTACATACCTCCCTGATTTATTACCATGATTAGATTAATTAATAAGATTCACCCAATATATTTGTGTTTATTCTCACGAATTTAAATCTTTCTTTGTAAACATTAATCACTATTCTACTCACAGATGATCGAGCTACATGGAGATTTGCCACAGGGTGGCAGCTCGTGCACTAGGTTGCCAGGCTATAGCATCGTGACACGCAGAATTAGTTTGATGTGGGTCTCACGTGGCTTCAACACGAACTTTGTAGAGCACGTCTTCTATCCGAGAATTCAAAGGGGATTTGACTGTCAATGCTATTTTGTCGTGTATTAATTGTAGCTGACACAATTGAGTATGTGAAGCTATGTCCCTGGTGAAGTGAATAGGGACATGAAAAGATAAGACTAAACTGACGGTGATGTTTTAATACGATTACAGGGCATTCACTGTCAACTGTTTCTGATTCGTGTACTTGTCATTTAATCATGCTCGATAGTGTGTATTTGTGCATAGAATGTACCGTGAGCCACCTTACAAATTTATTGAACGAATGTAGTAATTTTATAGTTGCGAGTAAATTGTTTATACGATGTTTATTACATTTGTCTGTCGTGATATATGATAAACAATTTATATTATCCGTGTACATTTCCCTTTCAAATTGGTTGTTTGTTTCCGGAGAATAACATAATAAATTTATCACCGATCTACAATGTTAAATCGCAGCTGATAAAACTGAGGCGCAAATTTCCAGCCGGTATTAAGGTGAAATGTACATTACTGGATATTAATTAGTAATTTTTGTTAGGATAGGAAGTCTGCAACAATTGTATAGCTTGCATATGTCTACGTTTGGTGCAAAAATAAAAACCACACACATTTTCAACAAACAAAGAAGATTTGCTCGCAGATATTGAGAAACGGCGACATATTTCAAAAAGATTTACAGTTAAGGCTAACCAATTAAATATATTCCACGCGTGTTGCCATGTTGTTCATTGTGAAATAAATAGTTGACAATTAGTGACCTCCAAACTGAATCCTCATTCAGTTATAGTGCAGTGTGGATTGTTTTTCTCTTGACCTATGACCCCAATGTTTTACCCTAGTTATTACATCACCTACATACGTCGTTCAAAGAAAGGCGTTTTCTCCATTTCTAATATAAATATCTATTTATAGGCGCAGATATATCCAGGCGTTCACGGACACGATGCAATGATTTTTATCCAGCGTATGTGTTATTTTCAACAAGCCCGTTTTTTTACCCTTCTTTTATGTTACTTATGTTCTGTTCTTCTTTTTATTTCCAAAAGGACTTTGGCGCAACTCTGTTTTTATCCTTATATTGGCTGGACCCTAGGTTTATATTTAATGGCACCGAGCCGATAGCGTTACGGTCAGGCTCTGAGTTATTGGACAAACTATGGACACCTGACTTGTATTTTGTGAACGTCAAAGAAGGCCAGGTGCATAAAGTAACTATCATAAATAGGCACATACGAGTCAGTCCTAATGGAACCATTTTATATGACATGAGGTAAGCACAGCTACTAATCACTTTCATATATTATACCGCTGCATATTTTATTTATATTCCAGATGTAATTTACCATGCTTCAAGATAGGATGAATGTCACCCTGTAAGTTAGGTTTCGTTACGAGCAGAATTGATTTCTTACTAAAAAAATGAAAGGGCAATTATTTTACACACGTCTCGCCCAGTGTGAGTTGTCTTACTAACGTGCACTTGTATTTTTTTATTATAACTATATCGTATACTCAATGGCGCCATCCATCTGCGCAAAAACACCTACCCAATGCTGTGCCCCATTTATATGTTTTCGACATTCGAATCGCGTTTTCCGTCACACTCTTACCAAATGTTGAATTGGTAGCATACATCAGACCCGAAAGTGTGCAGCTTGCATGAATCAACCGACAATGTGTTGAATTGAATCGTTATCTAATAGCTGAAATGCGGATCTACTCATCGTTGTCGTACGGTATATATGTCGATATGACTATAATGAAATAGGCCATATGAGCCACTTTCGCTTACATTTAATTAATTGTTAAAACGTATAGCTTGACTGGTTAAGTACGTCGATCGTTATTAAACACGCATCGGTATCATTAAACGAAACGTGTTCTGTCAAAACAATTAATCATAGTATTTTGATAAGTAACTTCTATGGATTATCGTTATCAGCAGGGGCGAGGGGCTGCCAATCACATATTTCAACTTATAATGGTATGTTAAGTTGTATAATATAGGGGAACGGTTTGATATTTAATGATATTGGCAACACACGTGTACTAACTGGGTATGTACAATGTCGACATTGTGGGATAACGGAGAAACATGATGAATTATAATGATACATGGATGCAGGGATAGCTCATAGTTGGGAGGTATTAAACTGGTATCTTATTGATTAATTGAATTTTCGAGATTTAAAATAGAGGTGATAAATTTCATTATTGGAAAAAAACGTATGTACGTGTAAGCATAATTCCATAACGTATGGCTTAGTTCTGAGACATATGTGCATGTTTCCCCGGGCGTCATGACATAAATAAAACTTCAATGTGTTTTCAACTAATGTCACCCCTCGTAAACTACAGTCATACGAGAATACATTTACGACTTCAGACTACATCTCCCACCTGTAAACACATATAGAAATAATATATAGTGCCAAGATGAACGGTCGTTGTAATATCTTCACCGGAGTTTATCTTTAGGGAATTGTACAATCTTCAAAAAACAAGTAATCAATAAAGGTGGGTAAATGGAAGATAGCATTTGAATGTCTGTTAAAACATTTTCCCTTGTGGAACTCTGAGAGCTATTGTACGATGTGTATTCATTGTCTGTTCCATCACTTTGAAAACGAACTCGTGCAAAATTAATCTATATGCTAATATTAGCAATGTGGACAATTAAAATAGTGGCAGTGCGGTCACAATAGTGACAATAGGCATTGGAATGACAGATTACTCAATATGATCGGCATTGCTAGGTGTAGCAATTTACGCCATTATATCACGCGATTAATCAATCATACAACGATATTTAACATACTACGATATGTAATACAATATGACGAACATATTAAATTTAAAAGTTTATTTAATTTTCCAGATTAAATAATTATGACCAATACGATTAGGATTTAAATTTCAATGAAAAACAGAAAACATATCCTGAATGTTCGCATCTAAAACAATGGGTACACCCTTCCACACAAGGAGTATTTCAAAGATCTTCAATTCCAGGATTCCAAAGATTTATATTAGACGTAGACTGAGTTCAAAAGAACGTCTCGTTTTTAAAGTAAACAATACCTGAATAGGATATATTATCAACTGTCGGTGGCTTAGTGATGATTCACCACGTGTAGTTACGTATTCCACATAGGGTATGAAGATCTTACATTTGCTGATAATTTTTATTTGACATAGAAACTAAATAACAAACTAATACACCGCTGCTCAGATCTGACTCCCCGGCACTTGATGCATTTGTGAAGAATTCATTGTCCTGGAACGATGTAAGTGACATCGAAAAAAACAAAACTCCTCCAGGTAGAATTTCGCCATCCAAGCTGATGTTGGGATTAATGACATCCCTTGTGAAATTATTCCCTGGGCAAGAGGATCAACGCGTAGCGGTACGAAATAAAAGTCGTATTCATCCTAGTTAAACGGGCGTCAGATTGAATTGCCAGATTATTTAATGTTAAATCGAATTCTATAATGTATTTCAGTAAACAGCTCTAATATATAATGTATAACAGCTGAAAAGTATTAACGTTATTTAAAAATGTTGCGAAGACGATACTTGGGATACATTTATTTAATTGCACATAGTTCCATGTCATGTGAAGACATTAGTGTCGTGACATTCATTCAGTACACGTCTCTTGTAATATTGTCGAAATCGTTGACCAGAATGTGATGGGGCGGTATCAAAAAACAACAACGTTGGATCAACATTATTACATTGTTTACAACAAGGAACATGTCAGAGCACCCTCTGTCACCGTGTAAGGAAATTAATTCAGTGACGATTGTGTGGTGTATGAAACCGTCAAATTCTGATTGCTCTTCAGGAATTCCCGATTCACGTGCTATTACTTAAGGATTCTACAAAACTGTATTTATTTTCTAGAAATAAACTTCATTCATCGTCACATATATACACAGGATTACCTTTGGGTATGCACCAAATTGCGAGTTATCTGTGTCACATCTTTATGGGGTGACTATTTTGGTCTGGACAGTCTAACATCCGTTTACGCATCACTGTTTCAAATGCCGCTACGAGTGCTCGATAAACCCAACTAGAAAATACGTGACGTTCGGAGTTCGTCGCATTAGCATAGAAGTAGAATGGTTGTGAGTCTAAATACTGTATAGGAATTCTAAACTGAAGCCCGGATCGATGTTCATCTGTAATCACGGTTCAAAAACACACAAAATACGGGAATTTAAATCTTTTGGTTTAGCGTAAGCGACTATATAAAATACATTACATAGAATGCATCATCCTTGGGGAATTCGACAAATATAACATTCAAACAACGTTTAACAAATATGTGTATCTCTATCTTTGCCACTGCCGTAGATTACAGCGAATACTATCGTACCCAACACGCTCCAATACACCGAACATTCAATTCATTTGGATTGACAAACTCCCGTGAAATACATACGTAATGAAGAATCCTACGTCAGGAAACAATATACTAGAATACGAGAATAAACAGAATGACGATGGCGAGCAAGTAAAGTAAATGTGAATGCACTCGTTTTGCTATATGAGTGTACAGCTTTTTAATGTTTTACGTTGAGAAAAGTACATACACGTTTCAGAAATATTCAAGCTACTACGCTGCACGTGGAAACCATATGAAATCTTATAAAATATGAATTCAGCTATACATTTACAAAGATGTATTTTAACCACGCTGACAGCTACACAGTAATGAAAGCGTTAACATATAGTACAATAGCATACCAGCACGGTTAGACTTTGAAACAAGAACCGTTCTACTTGTTCACCCAATGCCTTTTAAAGCATGTTATCATTCAATCAATGATTGTGTAGTGGGTCTAATAATAAAACCGAAAATATTTATTTTTAGATTCAGAGATTGTTTTTTGTTGTTGCTGTTGTTTTCATTAGACAAATTAGTTTACTTGCATTGATCACATAACCTTAACGTTGCTTAGTAGTTTAAGCACACAAATTTGTTCTATTAAAAATCAATGTTTACCCTTTTAATTAAGTCACAAAGAGCCATCATCAATCATTCCCATTTATCTTAATATACTTAGTTAATATATCAACTAACCTAGATAACGTGTAATTATACTTGTACGTTTCACAATATGCTCCCTGGGCATCCTTCATACTGTATTAATTAATAATGATGTATATGCCAATTAGTATTTCGATGTTGATTTTGAAAGGTGTGACAGGCGAAGACATGTGTATCATCTGCATAATTGTCTGACTGTGTTACAAGAGGCGTTGAAACCAATAAAAACACCAATTCTCACTTCCTGCTGTATTTATGTAAATTGTATCATTCCCAAGACTCCATGCCCTAAAACAAAGGTTTAATATGTACGCGGCGTAATACAATTAAAATTTAATGAAGCCCTTTGAGAAAAAAAAAATGTGAGACCAGAAAATACGTGAGCATGATTGCACTACTATATTTCAGCATAAAGGGAGGATTGTGGGTGAATCCACCTATCAAAGACTTCAATTGTGTTACCAGTTGTTTCCCTTGGTGAATTAATGTTTAATAAGCTAAAACATTAATTTGTCATGGGAAAACTACTTTAATATATACTGGCAACATCATAATTGAACAACTGATGGGTTGAATTGAAAAGAAATAAGGAATATAAAGTGTTTATCGTCATTCTTTGGAAGGGCGATTTCATGTGTCTGTGTGCGAGGATGGATTCACCTAGAAACCTCTTTATGAGATTCCTCCAAAGACCTTGGCAGGATATTGTGAGGTATCCTAACCTATTAAAAAGGTCTATATATTCTATGTTTGTTTAAATTGCATAATTTTTATGCTGTCGTATATAGGCACATAGGTTAGAAACAATGCGTGTCACGTCGTAGATAACACGATTTCACCGCCCTGTGGTGGATACTTCCAATTAATGCGTATTGCACAATTTTGTATTCAAATTCACCATTCACTGCATTACATTTTTCTAGTATATTATTAGTGGGCTTATGAATACGTTCAACAGAATCTATCCTAACAATGAAATAACAACCCATTTGCAGGTGGCGGGTGCGCGTAATACTTTGTTCGATTAATGTCACCGACTTGTAGGTTCGTTGGTGGTAGGTACCAACACTTGCGGCCGCCACAACCTAGCGAGAACATAAGACAAAATGTCGTATACTTCAAATGAAAGATATTACCATTCCTGCGTGATATATAATATTTTGAGGAATATTATCTGGGATGTAGAAACTCGTGTTCTATGACAAAGACATCATGTAACATTTGACCCCGCAAATTATATATTAATTTGTGACTTTCCCCATCTGTCCGTCTATGCGTGTATCCACCCCACACCAAAACAGATATGTACGCTTTATTTGTTTATTTTTCACTGATGTTTTCTCCATAGAATCATAGGAATGTTTTCAGAATTATCAGACGTAGTACGTCTAGCAGTGCCTAGTCTCTGGTGATTGAACCTGTCCACTGACTTAAATTCTCAATGCAGCTGTCTAACAAATGTCAAATAGGAGTTCAAACGTAGTCTAATAAAGTAATTATTTGATTTTAAAAATATTGCGAGCTCTATTAATAACGGGCGTTCACGGGAGACCCGAGTATGATTAATATTGGGAATTATGTAGTAAATGCGGGGTTTAAATTGGGTCTCTTGTGAAAACCACAAAGTATGTTTAGTTAAGTTTTGGTAGAATTGGTATGGAGAGACGGAATTCAATTTAAGGATAAATGTTGAACTGGTAGTTTTTAATTGATTTGCGTACTTCACTAGTACTTCTTTGAAACCAAATTCGGGGTCAAAGTTCCGGGCCCATGTAATCCATTACAAATTATAAAAGTTTGCAGATAGTAATTATTGTGATAGTAATTATTTTATGATGTGGCGCATCCGTTTAATAATGAGGTAATGATTATTCCTGTACCCTAATTGACGCCATCTAGTGAGCAACTTTTAATTTATTTTCTGTCACGTGACACTGCGTCTGATCCACGTACAGTCTTTACAGCATGGTTCCCTCTATAACCTAACGAGTCACAGTAGAGCAAACATTCGATTTTTACCTTTTTTATTACATCCTCGTAAAAGAATCATTATTGCATGTATATATTATTGTCCGTTTTGTAATTAATGTTCAGAGGTTGCCGCACGTAAGATAAAAGGTTAAATTTAGTTCAGGCTTTCTGGCTTCACAAATTTCACATAGCTACCGGTTCATATCGTGTTGTAACTACGTGTACATGCCAATATATCAAATGGTATTTTAGTATTCGATTATAGGCCAAAACAACGTGTTTTTCGTAGTGCCAAAAAAGCAAGTCATAGCACAATGTTGCGTACGTGTGTGAGCAGTTTCGTAGGGTTAGAGACAAGAACAAATATGTATAGGTACGCGTATTTGCCTATAAAAACAGGTACAGTCATTTGAAATCTCAAAATAATAACATTGAGAACACATTACACGATATGCAAAATAATTTTACCAAAATAACTATAATAATAGGATAAAAAAAGTCAATCGCATTGAAAATGCACCTACGGTGCGAGGTGGTCGTCTAATTGTTTCCATGTTCACCATCTTCAAAGACAAATATCATATCTTACGAAGTGTGTGCAATGACAGATATAAATGTCGCACCGAAAACAGCTATTTGCCCAAAAAAACAAGGTCTACACAATAAAGACTGGTTGTTGTTGCCTGCGACAAATTATTTCTTACATTAGAAAACAGCAACAATCGAAAGACAGTCCAGCTGGGATAAAGAAATCACAAAAACTACAGTCAACGATTAAGAGACCAAAACCCATGGGAAAATGCTCAAGCCTTCGATCAGCAACCCTGACACATTTAAGTCAGAGATGTGGAGGGGATGGCCCTACGTAGAAAATGATCTGGAATTTTCTTTCATCTCAACTATACTATGTAAACTAGTTGAGACATGATCGACAAAGTCATTTGAATTAGGCGGTTATGAGTGTTATGAGTATTTCCGTAAAAGATAACCTATATAAAAAGCAGACCCCGTGGTGGTTGCGCATAATAAAAAAATAACTAAATTATTATTCAACAATTCTGCTTAGTGATAATGGCGGGGTCTTGTGACTTGAAGTAGTCAGTTTATTATAAGGACAATTATATATCATCAAGCCCACCCAAAGATGACATTTACGTCATTTGGAGGGCGATGTGTTTGAATTCAGGAGTAAGTATATTAATTGTTCTATTCTGATCTTTGATCATTTTAATGCTGGGACAGGTGGTTTAATAAAACAATCTATTTTGATAATATTAATGAATTGCAAATTGTCGAAGGTATATCACTGAAGATTCGTATATTACCATTAAAAAAAACTTTGTTATGAAACTAAAATGTCCACTACTTGAACAACCTTGTAAATCCACTTCATTAATAATGTAATGGTGGGACAATAAATGATATACTGGGAAATTACATATATGTCAATCTATATGTTGATAAATATAGCACAATCAAAATTGTCAATAGATAGGATTCTACAATTTCTGCTCGAAATTAATATTAAAATTAAAACACCTAGAATCGTTAATGAATTAGACATAGACGTTCTCCACAAGATAAATATATAAGAGTACTCTCGTAACTATGAACAATTTGTAACCCATTTCCTGGATATGTAAAATTGTATAAATTTGACAGTTTCAAAATGAAAAGCAATTAGTCTACAAAGTAGTCTAAAATACATTTTAATTTTATCAAGCGACATATCGGTGAAACTAATTGCTAAGCGCTACTATCGGACTCCGCCAAGAGACTCTTCATCATTCCAGCGATAGTTGTTACATTTAGATATGCTAGGAATTCTATTTGTTGACTGTCATTATATGTGTTCCTATACTTTGGACCAATCACAACTCTCATCAGTTGACAACAATTTGCGCGCCAGTCCATCTAAGGTATTGGAAAAACATTTCTTAAATTGACGTCATTGCTCTCTCATCTGTGAGCGGCAAAACAAGTGTGTGATTTTCTACTCGCATACCAGATATAATCTCTTGTTCAAACTCTAAATTTATTATAAATACTTCTGACATACCAGTGTCATCTAAATGACACATGACTGACTAACACGTGTGTTTCATGGTCACACTACAATCACGCAAATGTCACAATACAGTCACAATTTAGAGAATTGAGAGTGCGGAAAACAAATGAACATACCGCGATAACATACATGTGACTGTGGGTACAACTTTGCGTTTAAATGCTCACTATATACACATCTTAGATAACAGTATATCCTTAAAATACTACTACACACAACCAAGTGAAAACAAATTGCTCAATAGTATTCTATAAAATGAACAGTCAGATTAATTTGTGCAAGTTTGTGAACTTGTCAACCAAAAAAAGAACGAAAGCATTTATGCAACATTTAACATTAACATTTACTGCGATTTAGTGAAATATTTATTGCTTTTTGATCAATTTTACCCATTCATACCAATACTTTATTACACAAGAGACCGATGCAAGAATGAACTATTATTATTTTTACTAAAACCAGACACATGATTGTTATTGCGTAGTAATGTAATATAAAGTGTACAAACTATATGTCATGCTTAGTCAGTGGAACTTTTTTAAAAGACATTTAATTTATCTCACCATCATATTTACTAATTGACGGCAGTACACATCAACTAAAACACATTTCTCCCCACAACCTATTCAGCATGTGATTGAAAATCTATGTATCGTTTCGAACACCAAACGTTGAGTACGAATAATGAAATATTTAAAAATACAAAATTACACTTTAAGATTCAGTGGGCATATCAGTACCAACTACACCTTTATTCGCGCGGACCACATTGTGTTGGTTGTATTCTGCGTTACATAAATAAACGATAGATTGCTAAGCCACTATTGAATTAGAAAAAAAAGAACTTATTAGAAAAAGAAACATAAGCAAAATGTATCATATGTTTAAAGGGACATATAACACAAGCCCGTTGTTTATATATAATTGTTCACACACCGTGTGATTAGGGTGAGATAAATGTATTGACAATGGATTTCTCAGAAGTATTGATTTTATTGATTTTCTTTGATTTCTAGAGTAAGCGTGATTCTTATCTGCAATCTGTACCTTCACCATTATCCGATGGACAAACAGACATGTAGAATCGAAATCGAAAGCTGTAAGTACAAGTTAACATTATATGCTAAACGTGTAGATGAATCTACTAAATTACATTTCTTTTTTTCCCCGTAAGTAAATGCAGCTGTGGGACTCACGCTTCAGTTGACATCGACTAGCACCGTAATTTCACTGTGCAATATATTACCGTGATATTGATATACTGATATACTATTTGGCCTGAAACTATTCTAATTCGTATTCACTTCTATGCTTCTATAATGTCCATTACTTTCAAGTTGTCATATTATTTGTCATGCATCGGTGTGTTCACTGTTCAGTAACTACTTCTTTCCCTGACCTCAAATCAAGTCACCAATCTATGAAAGAATTAGATGAATACAAGGCGTGTGGTTGGTGGTTAATCATAACGCCATAACATCACCTTCACAATACAACATTAATGTTATTACTTACGTATCAGAGATCGTGGCGTTCCTTCTCACCTTTACCTGATATTGCAATAATTAGTAAATTGTTAGAAGGTAAACATTCTTATTTTCAATGTTACCCAAGAGTCATTATCGTTGGCAATTGATACCGCGTTTTCCCGTGTGTTGTTTAAAAACGATGTATTGTAGCAAAGATTAGTTTAAAGTAAATAGTCTTAATATTTCAACAACACCAAACGATTTATTAATCAAGAAAAGCTTCGCATCGATGCCAGTAGGCGTATATCCTTTGATTGTCTTCGTACGTAGTGAATTGATCGTCGGCAGTTCTAATTCTAATTGTCTATGTACATTTATACCATATTCTCTCACAGAGATCACCTGCCTGCAAGGTATAATTGAATAACACTGTTCTGTTCGACATGGGACTCATGGCGACGTATACATTGTTTATTTACATGAAATTCGGACACGCGCTGCGTGGCGATCACCACCCATCAAAGGTGTCTTAGAGCGAATATATATCTACGCAAAGGCGACCGATTACATCTCACATCACAAAACGTGACTTGAGTACACAACACAAGAGTGATTCATGATAACCGTGCTTATGCGTTAACACGTTTTCATTTCACCCGTCAGAGTGCTTTGATCATAAATTGAATGCACATGAAAGTAATGCTAACCGACATGTTTCTGTTTCATGGCAGTTGGATACACAACCAGTGACGTCAGATTACTGTGGGATAAGAATTTTCCCGCAGACATACAAGAAGATCTCGTGATGCCTGAATTTTCTATGTCGTATCCAGCAGTAAACAGCACTGTTGTGCATTATCCTCAACTAGGTAGGCCCGGCATGCATTGCGCCACAAATCATAAAAGTACTGGGTTAATATTTTTATCAGTACATTACGAGCTGAGATTGAATTAAATACATTTACTGGCACAAATATTTGAGTGCACTGTCATTAGAATAACAGTATCGTATTTTTTGCAGGGGATTACGATCAGCTATATTGTAGTTTCTCGCTACACCGAGAACTGATCTATTATGTCTTGGAACACTACGTGCCGTCTACGTTGATGGTTATCGTATCATGGGTATCATTTTGGTTGAATGTAGAAGCAACTCCGGCGCGTGCTGGTCTTGGGATAACGACGGCTCTGACGCTAGCAACGCTCAGTTCGTCAGCTCGCGCGCATATGGCAAAAGTCTCTTACACGAAGGTGTGTTCAGTTTGCATGTTATCTCATATAAATACATAGAGTGACTACACGGACCAAAGTCGTGGTAGAATTTTTCCCTAAATATATATCACGATTGCGAATGTTTACGAATGTAGCTATTAGTCATTGAAAATTCCAATGGCAAACACGGTGTATTTTAACAAAAGTCATCTATTACATTATACCAATTCTTTTTTAAGACTATCGTTAATTTGTTTTAGGCAATTGACATATGGATGCTTGTGTGTTCCTTATTTGTCTTCGCTGCCTTAGTGGAATTTGCTCTTGCAAGTTACTTTCATAAAAAGATTCACTCGGAGAGATATGCAAAGCAGAGGGTACGTAAGGTAGGCTAGTTGCACGCTATATCCACATGTCATATTAAATGCAATATGTTTGCATGTAACAACTGTGACATCATCGTGTAATACCGTTTTACGCATTGTATATGAGTGGTACGCACGGCGAGGGTTATTTCTGGCAATGAGTTGTAAATCTAATCGACTTTGATTACTGTTGTTTAGTCAATTTATACACTGTGTTGCTCGGTGTGCTTACGTCAGTTGTTACGGCGCCCAAAATTCGAAAACCTTAATTGGGAATAACGTCAATGTCATAATGTGTTCATAATGGCAAAATTGTGTGTATATGTTTCTTTATACATTCAAATTACATAATCACGAAACACGAGACATGCCGTACATCAAACCACTACGACACCAGTTACAGATAAATCTGCACGACTTGATTACAATAACGTCCATAGACATTTCTAATGTAACGTCAACGTAAAATCTTAATATTTCGAACCTTGGTATACGAACCTTGATCACAGTATTTAGTATTATTATACATCTGTCACCGTAACGCCATAAGTTACAGCGTGCCGTATTTTTGCGGTATTTTACGGGGAATTTTCATCCTACCATATTAGGAAATGCGAATTCCAAATATGGAATGATTACGAGCGTAAGCGCTCTCTAATAAAAAAAAAACAAAACATGGCTGCCACCAGGGTTTGACCGGACTCCACACAAAGAAGCTCGCTGATTCTGTTCTAAACATTTTGGATTTCGGCATTCCCATGATGTTCCCTAGGAAGGAAAACATGTATAATAATTAGGTTATTACGAGGATACTTCAAAATATGTACTCAGACAGTACGCCGTCGCATCGACCTTAGCCGTGGTTTCGCGGCGTTTTGGGTCCGGGAAGGTTAGGGTCCGACTGTATACCGACGATGTATATATGT